ACTACAAGCGAAGGAGCAAGACATCCAATTTACTTCGTTGGAGTTTAGGAGTTGGCTGAAACGAAATTGTCTATCAAAGAAGGTCGGGTTTGATGGATTAGAATGGGGTCCTTTGTTTATGGCTATAATTTGGGGACTGTGGAAGAGCAGGAATGAAAGGATCTTCAAAGAAACGAAATTTGATCCCTTTAAAGTTATAAATTATGCTAAACAGCTTGCAAGGGATATAGAGAAGTCTCTGTCAAATGCGCATAGAAGGATGGTTCATGATCCGTTCTTGATTAAATGGAAAAAACCTCCTGAGGGAGTATGGATTCTTAATACTGATGGTGTGTATAAATTGAATTCAGGCTTGGCTGCTGCAGGTGGTTTAATCCGGGACAGTAACGGTGATTGGATTGCGGGGTTCATGTTGAGATTAGGGAGGGTTAATAGTTCGATTGCGGAAATCTGGGGGGCTCGTCAGGGTCTTAATTTAGCTAAAAGTCTTGGTTCAAGAAATCTGGTCCTTGAAATGGATGCTAAATGGATTGTGGATCTATTCAATGGAGACATGAAGGAAGATTTTCCGGAATTTGAGTTGGTTACTGACTGTTTAGATATTATAAAGAAAGGATGGGTGACTGAAGTTCGGCACATCTGGCGAGAAGGAAACAAATGCGCCGATAAACTGGCGAATCTGGCGCTCATTCAAGAAGACCATTCCTCCATTTTGCATTCGCCTCCAGCGGAAATCCAAGCGATGTTGGCAGCTGACAAGAACGAACCGAGCGAGTTGAGAATTTAATTTTCTGTTTTCTCCTAATGTACCAAAAAAAAAGTTAACAAAAATCTTATAAAAAATAAAAAAAAGGATTAAAAAGTAATTATATATTTAAAACCATTTGATACAAAATCTATAGCAGTCATTGAATTCAAGATCCATGTAATAGCTATCCCACTTGGTGAGAAGAAAAAAAAAAAAAAAGGAAGAAGGTGAGGAACCCTAGAAAGCTGCAGTGCTGCATAAGGGGAGACATTGAGAATGTGGGAGTGGCAGCGTAAATATCACATTTCATAAGACGTTATTACCTAAAAATCACTCAAATAATCAATAATTACTTATCAAATATTTATTGACTAAATTTTATTGATCTAACACCCGTTTGTTGACATAGATTACCATTCGTACCTTCACAAGGAAAATTGACACGCGGCGAACATCACAGATCACCATCCGCACCTTTCATAAATACCTTCAATCATCTGTCACTCTCTTTTAATTACCGCCTACTCATCCCCAATAAATATCACCTTATTCAACTCTCAAATCATACTAAAAAACTCTACTTCTTACTTTTATCATTCTTTCTAACAAGTTTCAAGTTAATTCTGTTATTGTTTTTAGAAAAAAATATTTTTATTATATTATAATCATTAAATAGTGTATTATTTTATTATATTTGATTGTGCTAATTTTTTTTTATGTTTTGTAGTTATAAAATGGAAGTCGGATTGTTGGGTTTAGATATAAATTATATATCGAGTCATTTTATAGATACAATAACAATTTAAAATTGTGTTATGTTAATTATTAGAAATATTTTATACATACATATTTATAAACGTTGCACTCAAATTTAAGACCTTACAAAATAATAAGAATACTATTAAGAATAAGGCCGTCGATCGAGGGAAGATTGCCCCCCACATAACATTGACGGCAACTAAATTGTCTACCCGTATTGCCCAAACTGCCCGAACATAAACATAACACAAGAACAAATGGGTCATAAGCTTCTATCGTTTTCTGTTGCCCACCCATCCCAATCAGCTGAAAAGAAGTCGTGGCAATGGGGCAACGGGCAGTCCCCTTCCTTGTTGTTGGTCATTGGACACGTCCGGTCAGATGCTGCTTTCTGCTGTACTTCCGATTCCAACACAATAATTTTAACAAATAAATTTCCTTCGTCCTTTTGTACTGTGCATTTTATAGATTTGTTTATCTTACATTGTTTAGTTAATTTTCTTCAAATTCTTGTCTTTCTCAATCACATTTCAGTTTTAACTCTCCCCCTCGATCTGTACAAGATGGCATTATAGGAACTGTTTCCATTTTCATAGTCTGGTCCTTTTCAGACCCAATACAGGGACATCACAATTCCCACCTTAAAAGCATATATATATATATATATATATATTCTTTGCACTGTATTATAAAAGGAAAACCAATGTCTTTCATTTGGACCGATAGGGTTGATATGTACCATAGTACAGTACAGCTTTTCCATTGACATAAATGTCCTTTCCATGCAACTTGTTTCATCATGTGTTTATTTATTTTGTTAAGATTAATGATAGAGTCGACATGTTAGGTCTGTGGGCCTTAATTAGGTCAATATTCGTTGCAACACTTAATACGAGAAGAAAAGAATAATTTTTTTTAGAAATATCAATATGAATGAGATCCTAAAAGACATGTACATAGTCGTTGAAGCACCAACACAAACAAATTAAATGGAAAACAATAGATTACTAAAACACACACATACATAGGTCCCATCTCTTATGATTAAATATAAGTGAAAACAAAAATTAAAATAAAATCTTTTATTAAATTAATCTCTCACTAATATAATACAAGTAACTTATTTACAATTTTACCAGTAGCTTATTCACACAATCAGTTTTATTGGTATAACTATTGGTCTATTGACCATGTACATTGAAAAGAACAGTGTGTTTAATTTGCAAATTGTCTTATATTATAGTTAGGTAGAACAGTGTTCAATTCATGTCATGTCAATGGGTAGCTTTTGCTCGTTTTATAATTTATAATTACGAATTTTCATCGTGGACTTCCAATTTAACCGTGCCAAATCAACGCTGGTCTCACACAGTTCCTTACCAATGTTTATTCTTGTGCTTAAGATAATGACTTTGAGCATGATCAGCTCCCATAGCGTGACATGTTATGTCTATAAAATTTAAAATTAAATTTAATGGTGAATGATTGATCGATAATAATTATTAATGATTTTAATTTTATATAGACAAGTTGAACCTTACAATATAAATTGATGATACTTTTTCAAATTAATTTATATACGTGGTTCAAAAACTTTTGTCCATTTTATTATTCTATGCTTGGTAGAATTAATGTTCATGGACAATTAATCATACCGTTTAGTCTAAACGGACGGTTAATCGTTATAACAATTATGAGATTTTTCTAGCCATTAAAAATGATTAACCGCTATTAACGGTTCGATTATAGGTTAACCTATTATAATTATTTGTCAAAAAATTTTATAATTCATATTATAAAAAAGTGTAGCACTTAACACATACTTAAGTATGTAAATCTCTCAATATCTTAGTACTTAACTATAAACACATATTATGTTGGTTAAGTATGTTTATGTATTTTCAAAGAAATAAAAAAATATATATTAAGTTATTTGTGTATAAAATATATATAAATTAAAAATAATAGGAAATTATATTAATTCATTTGCGTAAAACTATAATAAATTAAAATTTTAATTTATAATCATTTATATTCCATCATCACGTTTTGTTTACATTGATCGTTTAACATTGATCGTTTAAAAAAATATATATTTATTTACATTGATCGTGGTTCACTCATGCCCTTGCGGGTGGAATTAGGTTGGAAAGCCGGCAAAATTCAAGCCATGAGTCTCGGTCAGTGGCTGTAGTTAATGGGGCACACCCACTTTACACGTACTTTCAAGCCATTAGCCCTTCGTTGAACCCATAATCATGATTTTTCAATTCAAACACCATTTTTCAACATGCACGCACACACAACATCGCCCCCCCCCCCACCCCAACAACTTTGATTTGATCATTTATATTTCATCATCACGTTTTGTTTACATTGATCGTTTACCATAATAATTATGTTCACAACATTGATGTATTTTTTATATGATTTTTTTTAATATGGTATGATTATTCAAAATTATCAGATTTGTTCAACCCCAAGCCAAGAAATGATTATTCTTTAAGGAAGCTTGATTACTGTTTTCATTGTGTTGATTCTCTATTATCCAACCCTCTCATAGTTTCATTATTCTCCACTTTCAGCACTTAAATTTAAGGTATTTATATATACTAAATAATTAAAATTAAATAAATTTGGATTTAAGTGACTATTTATTTACCCACCTATGCTTCAAAATGCCCTTGCAAAATCCATATCGTTTAAATCAATACACAGTGCAGAAATATAGTAGAAGAGAGGCATGGAATTTTATGATAAAAACACCCACATGAAGGGATTTATGTTAGTTACGGTTTAACTCATTATTTTTTAACATAAACAAGAATAGTGTCATGTTCAAAATACAGTGACATTCAAATTCACAAAACATGAACGAGATTAAAGTGAAAGACCATTGTGTCAAAGTATGAGCCGCTCTGTTTATATCTCGTCGCAGATATTAGACTTTGACATGCCTGTTGCATGTTAGAATGGCCACCACTTAACGGAAATGAAACCTTACAAAAGAGAGATAAGCCAGAGTATTCACAATGTCCGATGCATTTCTTGTCCTACAGGTCTCTTAGTGGACATGTATGGCAAGTCACCACTTGCTCGGTATGATCTCGTGCCACAACTCCAACTGCTTCGTATCTTGTATTGGTCACAAAAGCTCTAATAACATTAATTTCAACAACTAATTAATGATATTAGATATTGATACGCAAGAAAAAGTTAAACAAAATTATATTTTAGAAATATATTATAATGATTTTTTTTAATTAAAACAAAATTCAAAGTTTCAACCTTACTATTTGAATTAAGGGATTTTTTTAAATTAAGACAATATTGGGGTCATTTTCAAAGTACATTGTTTATATATATATTACTAGTGAAGAATAACATGAGAATCTAAGGGTAGACTAGGAAATGTAGGAGGAAAAAAGAAGCATTTCACCTGCCTCCAAAAACTGCAAATTAACAGTCAAATTCCTAACCCAAACGCCACTTGTTTTTTTTTTATATACGAGATAGAGATATACACTAAAATAATAAGCTCTACTTTATCTCTTTACCATGGATGGAATATATGTTATATTAAAGCATCCCAAAGCCCTACATTCTTATGCACCCAACAACAACAGAAAAGAAGAGCCAAAGCCAGCTAAACTGAAATCACCCAAGGCAAGTCATGTTTCAAATCTCTCCTCAAGGTCATGTATCATGCATAAGTTGAAGACAACAAAGCCTACTTTTTATCTTCTTTTTTCAAGCCACTAAAATTCAAAAGAAAAAGAAATACTTACCTGCTTCTGTGCTTTTCCTTTTGGTAGATCTATATACAAAGAGAAGGAATTTCCCAAAACATGATTCAAAAACTCCTAGGTGGCTCTTCCGGCTTTAATTTTGGAGGAGGTGGCAGAAAATTCTCCATCAATGGAACCATTCTGGATGGTACTATTGCTGCTACACTTACTTCTTCTCCATCATCATCACCTTCTCCTTCTTCCCTGACTTCTCCGTCGTCGACGACTACGAATAACTCCGCTGCTGCTTCGGCTGCAAAGTCGGACCAGAGCCAGAATTTGAGGTGTCCCAGATGTGATTCGTCCAACACCAAGTTTTGTTATTACAACAACTACAACCTCACTCAGCCCCGTCACTTTTGCAAGACTTGTCGTCGGTATTGGACCAAAGGGGGAGCTCTCAGGAACGTTCCTATTGGCGGTGGGTGTAGGAAGAACAAGAACAGTACTACTGTTTCGACGACGATGGGAAAATCAAGTGCTTCTAAGATGAAACCAGTAGTGTCTGATATTGGAAGATCTGGTCATGCAAACGGGTTCGATCATGAGATTCAATCGACTCCCAACCTTTGGGCTTCACCCCAGAGTTCTAATCTTCTAGCCTTATTGAGAACTACCCAAAACCCTAACCCCAACACTTTGTCTACTAATATCAAGGAAGAGATGAGCTTGGTTGGATCACATGTCATGAACGATCCAGCTGCGTTAAATGATCGAACCCTAGGCTTGGATCCTCTTAGCCACGTCCATTCTCTTGGACTTTGCAGCCCTTTGTGGAGAAACAATCAACACCAAGCTCAACTGCAACAACAGAACAATAATAATAATAGTAATTATGGATCGTTCCTACAAGGTGAAGTTCAAAACACAGGGATTCAAGAACTGTATCAGAGGCTCAAATCATCATCAAATTACTACTCTGATAGCACTGCAGTAGTTCTAAGCAATGTGAGTTCTTCTTCTTCATCTTCTTCATCAGTTTTGGAGTCGGCTCCAATTGCAGGTGGAGAATTGAGTTACTGGAATCCGCCATTTTCATCATGGTCCGATCTCCCAACACCTAATGGTGCATATCCGTAAAGAACCCTTTTCTTTCCCTTTGATCATTTTATCTCAGCTTTTTAATATGCTAATGTTGTTGCAGTGCCTTCTAGTATATGAATATATATGGCTGTATGGGTTTTCAATTCTTTGTTTTTTTTCCTTTTACTTTCTCTTTTAAGTGTGGTTTGAGGTGTGTTTAATTAACTTTTTTGAGTGTACCAAGGATGAAGAAGAAGTAAAAATGAATGGAAAAAATACTAGTTTTATTTTCAATGCTTCCTGTCCACATTGATTAAAAAGGTGACCTTCGACTGCAGGTATGAAAAGGATTTAACTTCAACTTAAGAGTTAAAACAACATGAAAGTTGCGATTTAGTTAAAACCTTAAACATGGCAATTACCTCGGCTAAATCAAAATCTTTTAGGGTTTTTTCTTTTCTGATGATTTGTCATAAACTATGAGAGAGACCGAGTGGTGGGTTGCATATGAAATTAAAGATTCTTTAAAGAACTTTTTTTTTTGTTTGTTAAAGCAGACAATGGGGAAAAGTTTTCGTAAACAACAATTTGATTCTCGCAGTGAAAGGAGGATTCCATTGCAGCCTTATGTATAAAAGCCTGGTGTCTGCTCCTAATTGCTTGTTTCTCTGGAGATTGGCCTGCAGTTTTTATTCCTTTTCACTGTCTCTTTTCTTTTTATATATAAATAAAGCGGATTTCAACCCTTTACTCTTTTTTCTCTATTTTTTAACATTTTATTCAATAATTTATAAGATAAAGCCTAACAAATCTGAGATTAAATCTAAATGTTTTCTTGGTTCTGTAAGCAACTGCGGCCAAAAAGAACATTGCAGTAATGAGTATGGCGAAGATGTGTACCAATCTTCTAGTTTGTGCAAATCACGCTACGATTGTTGATCATGATTGTTGTTCATTTTCATCATCATTCAATCCTTTATAGTATAGTGTTCTTTCTAGACTTTGCATTCATGGATGGAATCATATGCCATCTAAGATTGCAGCGGAATCAATTGAAATTTGAGTAGTTTTTCGGTGTATTTGAATGAGCTGTCCATTGACTGATCAATCCAACTTGTTTTTCAAGTAACATAGATAAACTGGAAAGGGTAAAATGTGCATTGTAATTACCAGGTAAACTAATCATAAAACTTCTTTTTTGAAGCCTAAACTCCCCCATCTTTCATCCTAACAGTCACATCCTCGTAACTGAGAGTGAAGGGAGGAAGAATCATAAAACTAGCTGAAGATAAAGATGAAGAAAACATGAAAATTACAGCAATGGCGCATTAATAATGATCGATTAACGTTTAGCCTTGCCGCAACGCAGTGCGTTCGGAGGAATGTCGGTCTCCGTATACAAGCTTTTCTCGTTGTTCCAAACTCTGAGGTACGTTTGCAAGCCTAGGAATCGGTCCGACCATATTTGTGACCTCAAGTTCCACATTCCTTTGTTGTCCATAGAAGCATAAACTGCAGTCCAGGAATTGGGATACACCTGCCAATGGTTTTCTAGCTAAGTCCATATGTTCGGTATTAAAGTTTGAAGCACCGAAATATTAGACATTTTGTTTAAATGAGCGTGAATTTTTACCTGAACAGTGTGTCTCGATATCGCATCAGCCAGATTGTAGCGTCTCCTCGAGTCGGTTGTCCACTTTCCGCCGCCGTACCCGATGACGAAGAAGCTCTCACCGTCGAGATGCCAAGATTGGATGGTGGGTTCAGTGTTTTGGAAAACAATCTCGATGAAGTCATGGAGGGTGAGTCCAAAGACAGATACACCCATGGCTGGTGGCCTTGAAGTAGGAAAATCCTTGATGTTGTTCAAGGTGAAAACACCAGGGATATTAAACCAATCCGCAAGCTTCAATGGAGTTGTAGGATCCACATAAGAGATCCCATTAACCGTGTACCGCAATTTTCCATTTATCTTGGCCTTTGCATTAGCCAAAACAAGTGTCCTCACAACCTTAATTGAACCATAGTGGAATGATCCTTGAGGATTAGGCCTAGCTGCATTTGCTGTCAAGTTCAATCTAAAACACCAAAATGAGTCAACGTTAGCTTATTGTATAGGATCCGCGATAATCAACAATATTCCCGAACGGATTGGCGCTTCGAGTTGGTTCAATTACCTTAAAGTCCTGGCTTGTTTCATGGACCAGTGAACGTGATAAGTCGGGCCAATAGGCAGCGGCAAAGAGGCACGAGTGTTGGAACCCTGATACCGAAGGATACCGGTAGTGGTGAGAATAGGCTTAGTGAAACGAGTTGAAGCCACGATGTAATAATCCTTAATAGCCCCACGTAAGGTGACCAAAACAGCTGCGGATTGACCCGGATGAATATCGAGGGACTCGTACGCCTCCTGCAAACTATGGCTTCCTTCAACTTCAACTAGAATCATTTTATGACCCTGGATCCTGAAGTTAATCGATGTCGATATACCGACATTCGAAATCCTAAACTTGTAAGTTTTCCCTGTAATCAACCATGAACCAAGCAAAAAACTCAACATAATCCATACAAAATCCTCTTGTTTAAAGACTAGGAAAGCCTTGATTACCTTTCTGACCAGTGAAAACTGAAGATCCATGGAGACCATTTATAAGAAGACCATCAGGCGAAGGAAGAGCCAAGCCTGAATTCAGCTTTTTCCTCAAGGCCTGTGAAAATGTAATTGTTTAAGAGTTGGATAGGAGCCATTACAGATCAAATGACTGAAAAGGAAAAAAAGGGTATACCTTGTCACCAGCTTTGTACCAATCACCAACAAGCAAAGTGAAATCTCCAGCAAATGCAGGGTAAGGGATTGAAATCACAGATCTTTGATTAATATTAAGAGCCCCAAAGCCACCAATGGCTCTGTGCATTGAAGTTGAAGGGTAATACATATAGGTTCCAATCTGATCCTTGAGCTGGAATTTGTATGTCCAGTTTGAGTGGGGAGGGATTGGACAATTGGTCCCAAGCACACCATCTTGCCATGAAGTCTTCCTTTGTTTAACTCCATGCCTAATTTCCAGTAACAAATTCTGGGTTATTAGCTTTGATCTTATAGCATAAACGACTCCAACAAACAAGTTGAGCCAAATCATAAACTAACCATGTAATGAGGAAGGGCTCATCTAATTGATTGATGACATTTACAATGATGTTGTCATTAGTGACAGCTTCAATTGGAGGTCCTGGAAATAGATTGTTAATGAGAATAACCTGCAAAATTGTAAAAAAAAAAAGTCTTTCAACGTTGTTCTTCAAAAAAATAAATAAAGAAGAAATAGGTGTTTATTAGTTGATGGAGAACAAACCCGTTGATTAACACCAAGAGGAGCCCGAGTTCCATACGTGACGAACCACGTATAGAATCTATATGGATCCTCTGCACCGGCAAAAAAGACAATGAAGCAAGCCAATATTCCAAGTAAAAATTGCAGGAAAATGGTCTGTTTGATCATTTTTAATTTGGATTTTTTCCCACTCTTTGTTTCCCTAAAGATTCAAACAAAAAGAGACTCGGTGGGGATGCGAAATACAAACAAGAACACAACTCATTGCCTTATATATATGCATTAAGATCATGCAAATGGAAGCATGGGCACGAAAATCCATGCATGCTGAAGCTGTTTTGCGGCGTACTTCATGCTAAACCTTGAGATCCCAGGAGTTTTTGCATCACTCAAGTTCAGCTCAAAATATTCCCAATAACTCCACAACTTGATTATACTTGAACTGGCGTAGAATTTCTTGAAAACAGCAGATCCATAACATGGATCAGTTCTTTATTATTATTATTATTATTATATTTTGGTTTGATTCTATATTTATTTTCTTTGTGGATCAATAATTAAGTAAGCGTTAAATTGGAAGGTCGGTTTTGGCCTAAAAGAAACGGGGAGGGCGAAGCCGAGTACGGATCATAATTAATTTTATGTAACGTATATAAATTAATTAAATTAATACTATATATTTAATGTGATAGTTTAGATATTTATGTAACATCAATTAATTAATTATATAAACAATAATCCATTTGTTTAATGAGATAAGACACTAGTTTTCTTAAATAAGATCAGCAATTTAAATCTTAATATTTATGAATAGAGTAAATTGAGTTAAAAGGATTGTCTCCATATTCGACCTATGCAATACCTGATATTAATTAATGAATCAATAAATCAAATATATATGATTATACTAAAAAAATAAATTAATCATTCATATATATATATATATATATATATATATATATAAACAAAATAATTAAAAAATAGAGATGATTATATGAAATAAATTTCAATTTATATTTTTAATTCCCCTGTAGTCCATAACTAAGTGAAATTTAATGTAAGTTATGGATCTCATCTGGAACACATTACACAGCACGTGCCTAAAAATTCCCACATGCTGCCTTCACTAACACTTCCGTTCAGTGATCGCCATACTTCATTAATGTACAACACTTGATTACCTTTTTACTATTATATCTTTTGGGTATAAAAAGGACTAAATTTTACAAAGTCAACTAGTGATTAAATGTGTTGATATTAGGTAATTAAGTGAATCTGGTTGATTTAAAATTTAATTAAGAGGATCAAATTGAACACCGACATGAAAAAAATGGATCCCAATGACAGATCTAGCAATACATTTAGGAGAAAATTGAATTCTCAGCATGTGCTTTACCCCATGGATCCATGTCCAATCTTTAGTACATTCTTTTCTCGGTGAACCACAACATTGATGAAGAAATTTAAAATTTATATTTTGTAAATCTCCAAAAGAAATGAATACAATATTTATCCCTGTAATTTCAAGAATATTCACTTATTCTTTTTTTTTAAAAAATTAATCACTAGTATCTGATCTATTGACCGACTAATCCAGATCGATTACTACAGAGGAGAGGATAACCCTCCCAACCCAATTTTCTCCATTCGCAAATGTCAGGATTCGAACCTCTTACCTTCCTTAACAGACATAGTGCATCCCACTAAACCAACTGGTTGTTGGTATATTCAATTATTCTTTGATATTTGAAGAATAACACATAAATTGTCACGACCTATACTTCTTAACTGAATTTTAAATAAAAATAATTTAAATATTATCTGATACACAA